GAGAAGTTGTATCAAAGTAATAATGGAAATTTTTTGGGCTCAATTGAGATGTTGACAGAGTTTGACCTCGTCGTTCAAGAACATATTCGACGTATTAAAAATGAGGAAATTCATTATCATTATGTTGGGCATAGGATCCAAAATGATGAGTTAATAATCTTGCTTGCTTCTAAAATTAAATCTGTAATTTTTGAAAAAAATTAAACAAGCAAAATATTTTTTTATGATACTTGATTGGTACCCCTGACATAAGTCATCAAGAGCAAATATCTTTAGTATTGAGATATGTAAATGTCTCGTCAAATTCTGTTAGCATTGAGGAATCATTCTTAGGATTTTTGAATGTTAATGACATGACTGGCCACAGACTTTTTAATGCTATGCAAGATGATTGATCTCTCTTAATCTTGAGCTTGATAACAGAAGAGGACAGGGATATGATAATGGATCTCATGTGAAAGGAAAACATCAAGGAGTGCAAAACAAAATTGTTAGATGTGAATCCTAGAGCTTTTTATACTTCTTGTGGTTGTCATAGCCTTAGTTTGACTTTATGTGACATGGCTAATTGTTGTGGTAAAGCTAAAGATTTTTTTGGAGTTATTCAACGTATCTACACAATTTTTGCAAATTCCACTAAAAGATGGCAAATTTTAAAAGAAAATATAACGGGATTAACTCTTAAATCTTTATCATCTACTTGTTGGGAGAGTCGTGTTGATAGTGTTAAAGTTTGACGAAGACCTTGTGTGGTCTACAAATGTAATCAGTGACCACATTCCACTTGTTTTTTTTGTTGCCATTGTTGTGTGTAGTGTAGTGTTGATGTGCTCGTACGTTGGGGATTCAAGCCTATATATTTATAATGGGTTGAGCCAGTATTTTATGTTTTGATACGTACTCCTTATTATTTGTCTATGTAATAACCAATAGATAATAGTGTGCCATAAGAAACAGATTAAGGGGATTAAACAATCCAGGACTAATTCAATGAACTTGCGAGATAAAACATTAGTTAGCGTGTACAACCTTTCATATGGAGTACAACTTTTCAGACCTCATTTAATGAGCCTTTGAAGGATTAGGTGGTGTGTTACTTCATTGAAGTCTAATGCATTTATTGTGTCGTACAACATATCCAAAAAGATCTCTCCAGTAAACATCACATTTCATACAATGTTTTAGAATAATGTAAAGAGATTTTTGAATATGCAGACTTCAGAAACCTAATTTTCTGCCGAATTGAATTCAACTTGACCCGTTTTTTACTTGGCACTTTGGGTAGGAAAGTACCCGCTTTTCCATGGTTGTTTGTATATAGATAGATTATTGTCATCTCAAAGCATACAAGACGTAAATGGACATACGATCACTAGCAAAAGCATGCCTATCTACGCCTTAAGCTCAACTTTGCTATGACTAAAAGAAAAACACATATTCAACTACCACTATAATACACAATTATAGAGATGGGTTTGTGGCTACATCAAAGAAGTGGGATAGGAGTTGGCTGAAGTTACTAATTAAGACTGTATAAGAAGATGAGGTGCAAAGGTGAGATTATTCCAAAATTAAAATTAGGTGAGACTATTGTATGAAGATTGCAAAAAGGAAGGGATTATTAGTTTTCATTTAAATTCTTACAGTTTTAATAAGGGGTTTTTACTTGAATATTACTAATTTTGAACCAATTACCAAAAAAGTTACCACTTTTGAAAAGGGGCAAAAAAGTGATCAAGAAGGTCATATATGTGGATTTAGAAAACATGATGCCACTTCAAAAATGTTATGTCACTGTGTTCGTTTTTTGTAACTAAGAGTCATCACCGCCAAAATTTTTCACGCCAATTACACCACCACCATCACCGCCACAGTGACGCCGTCATTTTCATGTCATTGTCCATTATTCATGTCACTGTCACCGGCCGACCACAGTGACACCGCCACAATGAATGTCACTATTGCCGGAAAAGGAAAACATGTCACTGTGATCGTTTCTGATCAATGAAATTGCCGTCGTCGACACCACGATCTATCAGTCGCCAGGACCGCCACCCCCAACCCCATACTCGAACTCACACCCGGCAGCCACCTCCATTAGTGACACCACCGCCGCCTATCCAGCCCCTCCCAACTAACCAGCCCCCCTCCCCAACCCACCTGGCCCCCTCCCCAACCAACCAGCCCCATCCCATCCCCCTCACCAGCCCACGCAGCCCCGTCCCAGCCCCCTCCCAACCCATCAGCCCCTGCACAATCGAGCCGCAAAACCCTCCCAACCCCTGCACAATCAGGTAGATTTTTTGCAACTCTCACCATCCTGAGTTGCAAAACCCTCCCAACGGTCTCCATCGCATTACCACATCCAATTTCGAGTTGTCATCGCAGATTCTGAAATTGGGAGAAGGAGAAGAAATTTTGACATGTGCTTGCAATTCAAAATACTATGCAGTGAATCAACGAAGAAGGTGGAGCTCATTCATCGCCGCTTGATAGAACTAGAAGAAAAGGAAGAAGGTGTAGGTAGAGGAAAGGACGAGGATTAGGGTGGCAGAGACGATCCATCTCTTCTGTCCGCAGAAGAGAGACAACGGCGGCGATAATCAAGGTAGCGGAGATGCCTGCAAGCGTCAATCTGCTCTGTACCTGGGGAAGATCGAAAGAGACGGTCTGTCTATTCTGTTTGATCGCAGATGAGCGGAAGAAGAGACCGGGATTTAATTGTTGGTCACTTTTTTGTCAATTCCTAATTTAGTGATATTTTTGTGAGATGAAACTTGGGGAGTAATATTTAGGCCACTGTCTGTAGCCAATTCCTTAGTAAATCTTAAGAAGCACCAATTCCTATTCCCGGTGTATAAAAGTCATCCACCACAGTCAGGGCAACTCGCTAATGCCAGTTAAAATATTTAGAAACACCCAAGTCTTTGTTCACCAATTTCTTTCAGGGAAACTATATATAGAAGCTCGTAAGCCTCCATAAAACTTGGTTCAAATCAACTACTATTGTCATATATATGATTTCGTGAAAAGCTTTCGATTATGACGTCCACCTCCTCATTCCAAAGCACAATTAGACAACCAATGTCTCCCTCGCAAGTCACAGAAAATACCTGATGAAGAAATATCAAACGCTTTTCGAAGAGTGACCATGGGAGGCCTTCCGTTGAAGAAATATCCCCCCAGCGACCTCTTATGCCTCACTGCAAGATTCTGAAACGTAATGGAAGGCATGCCCTTAAACCTAGCAGGGACCTTTGTTGATAATGGTGGATCAGAATTCACCACTACCGAAGCAAAAGAGCTCCCATCCCAAACCTTCTTTACCGGCGGAGGGGGAGGCGGCGCCCCCTCCACTGCAACTGATGCCGTCATAGAATAGATCACAAGAAATCGCCAGAGCTAATTTTCGTGGGTTTTTTCAGTAGTTCGTCTAGGACTCAGATTTTGAAAGTTGTTAGAGATAAATATATTTTGAACTACTTGGTGACATTTTAAGAAAAAATAACAATTTTTATACGAGGTGAAATATTGTTTATACATTTTTAAGTTTTTATTTTTAATGATCTTTTTTTTTTGTGCTAGCCTTTGTAGTCTCTCTTTATAGTATCTTTTCAAATCTTTTGTTTTTGTTTTTTTGTTTTTTTTTTGTTTTATTAATTATGATTTTATTTGAACTTTTTACTATAAATTAAACTATTTTTACCTTTTATTAATTTATGTTTCATCATACTCATAAAAAATATAAAAATAGGAAGTATCTTATTAAAATATGGTAAGAGTTAAATAAGAAGAGAGAATATAATTTTTTCCCATTTTTAGAATATAAATCTATAGTCTTATGTTTACATTTTACAATTATTTTATTTCAATTTGATTTTTTTTGGATCTTTTTCCTTGAATATTACTAAACTAAAGTCAATTTCCCAAAAAAAAAAGTGATCATTTTTATAAAAAGACAAAAAGATGATTAAGAAGATCATATTTTTTTGCAAAAACTTGATGTCATTGAGAAATTGTTATGTCATTACCAAATTTGTATGTCACTTTTGAATGTTACTAATGCATTGTCACTGGAAAACATGTCACTGTGACCGTTTTCGAGCCAAGAAATCGCCGCCGTCAGCATCGGAGCCATTCAGCCGCCACCCCCAACCCCCACACCTACACTCAGCCTGTCCCCACACCCTAAACCCAATTCGCCTACCCAGCCCCTGTTCTCACTACTTTTATACCTCCACATGACCTCCCACCTCCACCCCTGCTGGCCACCACCACCACTTCTCACCGCCGCGGGTAACCTGCAGCCACCCCTCTCCGGTGGTCAGCATCACCAGTCCCACCCATTGTCCCACCCATTGTCCCACCCCTAGCTCTAGCCCCAATCAACCGCTCCCCAGTCCCACCTATGATAGCCCAGCCCCATCCCATTCCCTCGGCTCCAACTGCAGATCCGAACAACCCAACCCCGATCCACCCCTCCCAGGCCCCAGCCCTACCTCCAACAGCCCAACCCTAACTACCACCACTTGCCACTGAACCTTAGCCATCGCCCTCCGCCCAGATTTGATGCGAGGCGATGTGAGGTAACGTTGAGTCGTATCAATGCGAGCGGTCAGTGAGGCGATGTGATCAGAAGCACATTGCAGCGAAGAGGTGGCGGCCATTGTGGCGGCACAGTGGAGAGGGAGGCAGAAGATCGCAGAGGAAAAGACGCAAGGCAGACGCAGGAGACGCTGCGTTAGAGAAGAGTGACGTGCGACGCTGATCGCTTTTTTGTCCAATCTAATCTTGGTAACATTTATGTCTCTTAAAAGCCCAAGAGTTATATTCTTGCCATTTTTTCTTTATTTTTCTTATTATTATTTTGATTTGATTATAATTATGTTTGCTCAGAAAAGGAAGATTGTGGAAAAAAGATAAATGAACAGTCCATGAAATATGCCAAACTCTGTTTAGACAAATATTCGGAATTTAATTTAGTACGGGAGTACAACAATAACTGGCAGTATAGGTGCTCACAAGCTTCACACTTTCTCCAATTATTTAAAGACCAGTCTCCGTCTCCTTCCCCCATAATAAGCCATTTCCAGAGAGAAAGAGAGAGCGAAGGTGATAATGGCGAAGAACGCTTCCTCTTTCTCTAGCTTCAAGTCCTACATGACAGCACTGTCCGACACGCCGCACCGCCTGGCCCGCCGAGCCATCTCTACATCAACTCCGTTGGAGGAGACCGGCGGCGCTCGCGCACGTTCAGGCCGTGACATGAAGAGGAGCCTCCGGTGGTACGACCTCGTCGGATTTGGCCTCGGCGGCATGGTCGGCGCCGGAGTCTTCGTCACCACCGGCCGCGCCAGTCACGTCTATGCCGGCCCTGCCGTTATCCTGTCCTACGCCATTGCCGGTCTCTGCGCGCTACTCTCCGCCTTCTGCTACACCGAATTTGCCGTCGAGATGCCAGTCGCCGGCGGCGCATTTAGCTATATCCGCACCACATTCGGTTATTATCAAGTCCTCAATCTCTCAATTTCTTATGAACAACTCCACAAACTTACACTAACTCGATCGAATCAATTGCAGGAGAGTTCCCCGCGTTTATCACCGGAGCTAACCTAATCATCGATTACGTTCTCTCTAACGCCGCGGTGTCCAGGAGTTTCACATCGTATATATGCACAGCCGTCGGTATATCATCCGACACAAGGCTGAGAATCGCCGTCTCGGCGCTTCCGAGCGGTTACAACGAGATAGATTTTGTTGCAGTGGCGGTGGTGTTAATCCTCACCGTAGTCATCTGCTATAGGTTCATCCCAAACACATTTCGTTTTATTCTACTGATTAGTGATTATTAAGCTGAAAATTAAAATTAAATTAGTATATTCATCTCTGATCGGAAGTTCAATTCCTTCTTCCCGGTGCAGTACAAGAGGAAGTTCCATGTTGAACATGACGTTAACTGCTCTGCACATCCTGTTCATAGTGTTCGTGATTGTGATGGGGTTCACCAAGGGCGACCCGAAGAACTTGACCCACCCGGCAGATCCGAAACTGGCGGGCGGTTTTTCCCCGTTCGGTGCTGCGGGGGTTGTGAGCGGGGCTGCTATGGTGTACCTGAGCTACATCGGATATGATGCGGTGTCAACGATGGCGGAGGAGGTGAGGAATCCGGTGAAGGATATCCCGATCGGAGTATCGGGATCGGTTATGCTTGTGACCGTCCTTTATTGCCTCATGGCCGCTTCAATGTCCATGCTCCTCCCCTATGATAAGGTAATAATTTCAGTTCTATAATAATAAATTAAAAAAAAATCCAAAAGTTCTACCCCACTCCGTATTTGAGTACCAGATTCCATTGAAGTAGGTAACCGCGTTGGAAATGGATAAGATCTACTCAGTGTGTGAATTTACGACTTTCCCCTTTTCAATACGGAGTACCACGTATTATTCATCGCAAAAGGAAATGCTACGGAACATGATGGCGTCTGACAAATTAACTCCCGCGTTTAGACGGCGCCACGAATTACGTTATGACATAATTACAATTTTAATAGGGTCTATATTTTAATTTTATGGTGACTTTTCATAATAATGATTTTTAAATGCATCAGGTAGCTGTTCGTTGTTAGATTAAATAATTAATTCATGATCTACTGTTATGTTTGTTACTTTTTTATTGGATTCACTTTAGTGGTTTAAAAAACGAGCTAGAAAGTAATTGGAAACTATGTGTTTTAACAGTAGAGTGCCTCTCAGGTTTAATGCACCAAAGTCCCGTGATATATAAATTCGGTAAGTTAGTCCCTATGATTTAAAAAATGCATCAAATCCCCTATGTTATGTTTATTCATACAGAGAAGTCTCTTCAAAAATAAATTTAACAATTTTTAAATCATTTATCTTAATATTATGAATAAATATGCAAGTAAATTTGTTAAGATCGTTAAATTATACAAAAATACTAAATAATTGCGAGTTAATTGGCAATTAAATTTGTTCTTGGAGAGCGTTTTACGCGTGAATAATTACAATAAAGGGTGCTTTGATGCATTTTTTAAATGACAGGGCAATTAGTCGAATTTATAAATCACAGGGGTTGTGTGCATTAAATCGTTACATTAATAAGAGGTTTTTTGTTTTATTCTAATTAAGAGAAAATTTGGGAAAAGCCGGATAGAGTCCTATCCGAACCGGTTTATACAGGTTATTAAATATATGACTTATTAAGATTTATATGATGATGCTTTTTGAAATAAGTACGATGTTCCAAATTCTAATCCCATTCGATAAAAGTTTGTATATTATATTTCTCTTTTCGAAAAAATGTGTCACGTTTTCTTTTAATTATTTAATGTACCATTTACCAATCAAACTTAGTGAAGAAAGTTTTATGAACGACATTGAAACTTTGATTTTCAAATATATTGTTACTTGGTACCTCTTCGTAATATTTTCAAATCTATTACCCAAAATTGCAAAAAATAGGGAGTACACTTTGTTTTGTACTCCATCTCCATTGCTATCTCCTTTGGAACCTTTGGTGAAAGGAAAAATTGTGAATATTCAACTTTAATAATCCAATTTTATACTCCGTATTTCCAAAGTCTCTATTCCTTAAAACTGATGAGTATTATATATATGATGCCCATTAAAGAAATTAAAACAATTTATGGTTGATATGGAGCCCATTTGATTATTCTATTTTCCGGTTTATGAGTAAGTTTTTTTTACCAAATTCATAACTTTGGATTTCGCGCGCTGAAATTATATAATAATAAGAAAAAGTAAGGGTTGAAGTTACTTTTGTGACTGTATTAGCTATTTTCATATAATTTTTTCCTTTATTTTATTAAAAAAATATACTTTAAAAATAATTTATTTATAAATCAGTAGAACTAGCTAATACATACCGTTCGGTAATAAATTCATAAATTTTAGCAGCTTTAGCTGATTTCAGTGTAACTAAACGGACTCATAATATCTTCTAAAAAAACGGACTCATAATATGTACTCCCTCCGTCCCTTATAACTTGACCAACTTTCCTTTTTTGGATATCTCATTAACTTTGTCACTTTCTCTTTTAAGTAAAGAATTTGTGGTTCCAATTAATTGTCTCTCCTCTACAAACCTTAATCACACAGTTTTTACTTTATTAATCTTTGTGTTGGTCAAACTTGACAAAGTATTGAAGGACGGAGGGAGTACGTAGTAAAAGATTAGTTGACTGTTTTAGTTTGTAAGATTTACTAGTATATACTTGTACTCTTTATTTATTGAATAACTTTGGAGTTAATAATGGCGAGTGATTCTAAAAAAAATGGCGAGTGATTGCGTCCCGTTTCTGCACTTGTATTCTTTTGAACAGGTAAATGATTCTCCGAGTGAGAATGTGAATAGAATCTTGATCCACGAAAGGGGAAAGCAATTTCGTTTTAGTAGAGATTGATTCATTTTTATATTAGATTTAAGCATAAATAATAAATTTCGGCAAGTCTAACAGTAAAATACACATAAAATGAATGTATATCACATTAGATTAAATTAGATTCTATAATTTGAAATTTTGTTAATTCAATTAAAAATATCCATATGTTACAGACCTAAAATACTACTAGTATTTGATTTGAGATCAAACATGAAAACAAAAAGTGAAAATTCACTAAATAGAAGCAAAAAAAGTTGAAATTACAAAATAAGACTGTCATTTTTTGTTCTCTAAATAGGAGTAATTTCTGTCAAGTTTGATATCATCAATTTTTAAACATGGTAGTTTTTGCCATGTTTGAAAAAACTTGGCATAAATTCCTCATATTTGGGAATACAAACATGAAGGTTTTATTTTGGAATTTCAAAACGTTTTTACTCTTATTTAAATTTTTATAACAAAAACAAAAACATAATAGGGAGTAATATAGTTGTACTAATGGTAATAATAAGTAAAAAATTAGATTTTGAAAATTAAAAATATTAGATTTTGAAAATTTACAATGAGACAAATTTAACAATATTTTTTTCATAAAAATTTATTAATACATTAATAAATAAAATGTAGTCAAAGTAGAACATGTGAATAATGTAAATTTTCATATGTTGCATTTATTTAAGAACGTATTATAACATGTTTGGACACATTATTTAAGGATGAGAAATAGTAGGAGAAATAAATAATATAAAAAAGTAAGAGATAAGATCAAAAAATATGAAAGATAATATAGAAAAATGTAAAGATAATTGAACATATATATATATATAAAAAGATAAGACAAATAAAAAAACCATTAGGCAATGTTGCATGCAAAAATTTATCCGGATACGATAATGACCCTACAAAGCATTTTCTGGGTGGAGCCTTGGGACGAGGAGGGTCACAAGACCAAGAATTATTTGGATACGATGACTTGAGGTAGACATCGATTGATTGGATGTTTTGGTGATATTATGCTAATTTGATTTTGCTACTTCGCCTGGCCCAGATTGATCCGGATGCACCGTTCAACGGGGCGTTCACCAAAGGATCGCATGGGTGGAGGTGGGTCTCAAATGTGATCGGTGCGGGCGCAAGCTTCGGAATACTAACGTCGCTGTTGGTAGCCATGCTGGGTCAGGCTCGATACATGTGTGTTATCGGCCGTTCAGGTGTGGTCCCCAGGTGGTTTGCCAAGGTCCATCCCAGGACGTCAACGCCGGTCAATGCATCACTCTTTCTCGGTACGTACGTTGTTGGTTGCCTTTTTTTAGACTTAATATGGTTTCCAGTTTCCACGTCATTATTTAAAATTAAAGATAACTAAATCGAAAGAAAATTAAGAGATAATTTAAGGACAAAGCGTGATTTTAGGTGATTTGTTTTACATGATTGAGTAGCACTTTGGAAAGTAGTGACATGATTTTATAATGAACATTAATGTTTTGTGGTATCATTATACTAGGCAATTATTTTAGACAATGTTGTGTTTTCTATGTTTGTTGTTGACTTATTTTAATCTTAGACAAAACTATAGGGAGTATCAAGTTTAGATGATAATAATAATAATAATAAAATATTCTCTAACATGTTCTTTTACTGGACTATAGGTCAAATTTGAATATTGAGACTAGAAAAATGAATTAAAATCTACCAAATATAATAGGTTCTCAAGTCACATGACCATATAATTTTCGGGTCGAAAGATGTTTAAGACGGACTGACCTAAGCTAGTCAAAACTTTCGTATGCCATATTTCCATTATTGAGGTTTATCCACTTCGACTGAATCAGTCGTGTGACCCATCTTGCCAGTAAAATTGCCCACTATACGTAGTACGCATTCAATTTAGTAATTGACGTATATACCCCCTCCATCTAAATGTTCTTCCTGTTGCGGGTGACAAAGTTTGATCAATGATAAAGGTAAAATGATCTCTGTGATAACTTAGATTATTTTTAGAAAATAAAATTTAAATATTCAGAAACTATATCAAAATCGCTACAAAGCCTGTAAAAAATAATTCAAATTTTCATAAAATTTTGATATATAAAATAAGAGTTTAAGACTTATTTAAATTGATCCTCGAAAAGCAAAATGGAAGTTCTTTTAGGACGGAGGGAGTATGTTTTTATTAAGGTGACAACTCCGGTACCCATTTAAAAAAAGGGTACAGTGCCTACCACTCACATGATTGGTCCAAATCATTATATCATTTTTAATTTAGATTTAAATAATTCAACTGCAACATTCTGATTAGTCCAAGTAGACAAAGGTATGGTACCTTTTGGGTACCATAGAATCAACCTTTTATTATTCCGCCGTAGCGTTTTCTACTTTTCTAATTCGTATGTTTTAATAATGTATTTTAAAATAGTTTTTCTTTCTACTTTGTCCATCATCTAAACATAAAAATAGAACAACATCTTAGCTTTAGTCCCAAAAGATATTGGGGTCGGCTAACATGAATCGGTACATGATATCACCACCAAAAGGAAAAGAAAGAAAATAAAGATAAAAAAGATAAACTATTATGAAAAGGATAATATACCTAAAAATGATAAAATAAAAAGGATTAAAATAATGTTTATATATAAGGATAAAAGGATTTAAAAAAACAAGAAAAAAATTAATGAGGGGAAAAGATAATACGAGATTGCTCCTCCACATGAATATCCGCCCTCCATTTTGCTCTCTCCAAAACCATACCCTCATCTAACCCAAGAAGAAGCATATCACTTCGGATTCTCCTAATCCACGTCTATTTGGGTCTTCCTCTCCCTCTCTTCCCTGCCCTCCACACATCTCAACTCGTCTGACAGGTGCATCAATCGGTCTTCTACGCACATGACCAAACCAGCATAGGTGCGACTCCCACATCTTGTCTTCAATAGGTGCTACTCCCACGCTTTGTCTGATTGTCTCATTCCTCGCGTGGTCCTTCCTATTATGCCCACACATCCAACGCAACTTGTGCATCTCCGCCACACTCATTTTTTGAATGTGACATTGTTTCACCGCCCAACACTCTGCGCCATACAGTAATGCAGGCCTAATTGTTGTCCTATAAAATTTATTCTTCAGTCCAGTCGGCATACCTCTGTCGCATAGAAATCCTGATGCACTCTTCCACTTCATCCACCTTGTTCTGATTCTATGGGATACATCTCCATCTAACTGACAAACATAATCTAAACATAAAAATAATTTTTGAATTATGGAGACCAAGTAACGAACTGACGAACATAATCTAAACATAAAAATAATTTTTGGAAATAAGTAAATACGAGTATCACTTATCTTGTTTAAAACGGAAGAGGATCAAATTCCGGATAATGAGAAGCTTGAAATTCAATAGTCCTTATCCGTGACGCTATCTGACTGTTGCGTATGACTCCGTATTATTTAGTGATTGCAGCAATCCCCTTTCTTTATAGTTGTGCACTAAATTTCGGCAGTGAGTCAATTTGGGTCGACTACGAACCGTTTTACTTTGCTTGTAACTTGCATTTACTCATTTAGCCTTTCCATGATCAATGCCCATACACACACAAATATGACACTACGCATTTGTGTCTTTGTCTCTTAGGGAGTATTTATTTCTTTGTCATTTGACTCATTCTTAAAGTTTATATCAGATTTCCACTTTGAACTGATTAAAAAAATCCCAATTATGCAAATTTAATATTAACCATTCACCAATAGGGAATTGGGGATTTGGGGTTTCATTTGCAAACAAAAAGAAACGTGGGCGGCTCAAGGATTCAGTTTGTTCATAATCCAAGATAAAGGTGAATATTATTCCCATTTTTAATATGAAAATGTACAAATCAGCACTGATTGAATAGTAAAACATTTGGTCGGAAAGTGTTCTTTTTAACACGCCTTATTTACTGTAAAGAAAAACACGCTTTATTAATTAAAGAAATAAGGGGTTATATTCTTTTTCCTCTAAGAGAGAACAAAACAGGCCAAGTAGGTCATGCCCCTCTTTTATAATGCACACGTATATAATTATAAAAATACTGATATTTACAATCTGGGCCGTTAACACGGCTCTATTGAACAAATAAAGAGAGGGAACAAAACAGGCCAAGTAGATCATGCATTCATGCCCCTCTATTTTTATAATGTACACGTATATAAATACTCATATTTCCAAAAACTTATCTCCAAAAGGATAATTAATGACGCTGTCATAATAAAAAATATACGAGGATAAATTACCCTTTTTATCAACAAGCTAGTAATTTGTTTTTTTAGGTTTAGGTCCAGCTACTTTAAAAAAAAGTTTAGGTCCAGCTAGGCATATCATAGCCATTTATCGGGGGCCAACTAAAGAAAAGACAAAATAGAGTACCCTTCTTATGGTTTGAAAACGTTGCGGTGTCAAATGTCAATTCGCTAATCGTGCACTCAAACCTTTTCAATGAGTTTACTATATATATGTACACGACAATTGTTTATGGCTGTCAATTTTGGTCGTTTCAATATCTCTACTCTATAGAATTCTGCAAGTGGGCTGTCACAAACAAATACTGGAAGATGTAACGTGGATTTAAAGTTACAAAACCCAAATTTTGTTGTTATCCTAAAATTTGCAACGGTCCTACTAGACACACACAAATATGTTACTCCGTATTCAACATTTATGTGGTACAATCTGTTTGTCTGGTTAATCTTTGGATATCTCTAGGGGTGTTTGGATCTGATTCTCAAAACTGATTCTGCTCCTTCAGGGAGTAGAAGCAGAAACTGGAGTGTTTGGGTGAAATTCCAGAAGCACTTCTGGTGCTCTAATTTATCCTCAGAATCAGTTTTTTTAGAAGCTGGAGGGTACCTGCTTCTGAAAACTGTTTCTGATTCTGCTTTAAAAAAGAAGCAGAAGCAGAATCAGTTCCAAACACCCCATAAATCTCTATTACAACTACATACATCAGGTTAAGTTCATACATGGGAAATACTAATCATATACAAGTAGAAGAAGTAGTCCATATATAGTTTCTACTTTTAGCAAGAAACCATAGTTCTCCTAGCAAGGGAGGATCTTAGTTTTTACACAACAAACAAAATGAAATTATAAAATAATACGTAGTAATAAGGATGTTTTACTCTATTCAAGTGGAATTTACTCTAGTTTTTGAAGTGTAAAATGGCCCAATTAAAGAGATCCTAACATTTTAAATAAAGTCTTGCCTAGATGAATCCAACCATTGGACAATCTGAAAACAGCCTCTTTAAATCTAAATATACACTCTCTTAATATGAAAATAACATATATTACCTCCGCTTCTTAAATAAATGCAACACATTGACTTTTACACTATTCACATGTTCTACTTTGACTACGTTTTATTTATTAATGTAAACATATTTTTTTATGAAAAAATATTGTTAAACTTGTCTCATTGTAAATTTTCATAATCTAATTTTTTTAATTTTTTTACTAGTACAAAGTCTTATATATTAATGGTCAAAGTTGTGTCTCGACAAGTGTGAAATGTTGACGAAGGAAGTACGAAGTATATCACTTTGTCTGCTTAAATAATATATTCGACCTCATACTTATTAATATTAGGCCATCGTGGGATGTGATTTTAGACATATATCTAGATCGAAGAGGTTGGTATTTTGGTATTGGATTTCTTATTCCGAATGAATATATAAATGGAATGTATGAGTTGGGAGCTTTTGAGCATCATCTTGATTCCAATTGTTATTGTCTTGATTCCAATTGCTATTGTCTTGATTCCAATTGCTATTTGAAGGATTCTATTCAAAGATTTTGCTATCAGCTCAGATTGAAAACAGACTCTCTCCTGCTTTATTTGTTGACTATAATTAAAGAATGATTAACACTCCGAAAGGGGACCTTATAAGATTTCATGCTAATATCTTCATTTGACTAATCCTTAGAATATTCTTTTTTCCCTTCAACCTTTCAGGCGTTTTCACCGCAGTAATCGCACTTTTCACCGACTTACAAATCCTCCTAAACCTGGTATCAATCGGCACACTCTTCGTTTTCTACATGGTAGCAAATGCCGTGATCTACAAACGCTATGTGGCAGTAGGGACCACCAATCCATGGCCCACACTGTCCTACCTTCTATCTTTTACCCTCACGGCGATCTTGTTCACCCTTCTGTGGCACTTTGCACCGGCGGGGAAGGCAAAGGCCTTCCTCCTCGGAGCTTGCATTGTCATCGCCATCTCCATTCTGCAGCTTTTCCAGTGGATGGTCCCACAAGCAAACAAACCAGAGTTCTGGGGCGTCCCATTGATGCCATGGATTCCTTCCACTTCCATCTTCCTCAATATATTCCTGTTGGGTGCCCTTGACAGTCCTTCATATGTCCGGTTCGGATTCTTTTCGGGTCTTGCGGTCATTGTGTATGTGATGTATAGCGTGCATGCTAGCTTTGATGCTGAGGAACAAAAAGGTCAAGAGAATATTGAGATGAAGGAATATAATGAAGCCCAGGGCAATTCCTCCAAGGTGTAAATATGACTTGTACGTATTTAGTTTGGTTCATGTATTTAATTGACTAGTTGTAAGAATAGTAGAAGAGGAAGGTAACAAAAGAATCTCCATTATTAAATGGAATGTAACAAGTACTGCTCTTTTAATTTTCTATTGTCAACTTGTATAGTCTGGTTCAAGATTCCTATGTATATGGAATTGATCAAAAATGTACTACTCCGTTCTCTTTTAGTTGCAACATTGGACTTTTTGCACTATTCACATGTTCTACTTTGACTACATTTTATTAATTGATGTATAATAAATTAAATTTTTAAAAAATATTGTTAAATTCTTCTCATTCTAAATTTTCAAAATATGAATTTTTTAATTTTTTTACTAATAAGGAATGAAAGATATTGATGGTCAAACTTGTGCGTTGGCAAACATGAAATGTTGACTGTTGTAATTAAAAAGGAACGGAGGAAGTATTTTCTTATCTTTCTCTGTTCCTCTTTTCCTTGCTAGCAAAAAACATCATGTCATGTTTTAACGTAGATCGATACAATAAATTAATGGATGCTGTTCTTTTTGGTATTGGTGATTTTAATTATAATAATGTACACCGTACTTTTTACACGTATTTTAAAAAGTTTGGTAATGCTTTAATTTCAAGATATACGGAGTATTATAGTACTGTATGTCTTGAATTCTTTATGAATCATTTATGAATCACTAAGGGTCTGTTTGCAACAACTTCTGCTTTTAAAAAAGTGTTTTTTTTAATGAAATGGGGAGAAGTGATTAAATAAAAGTTGATAGTGTTTGAGAAAAAAGTGATTTTGAAAAGTAAAAGTGGGTACTGTTTGGTAAAATAAGTGTTTTTTGTGTAATAGAAAAAGTAAAAGTACTTTTGACGCGGAAGCCGAGAAAAATAAAAGTTGTAGTGTTTGGGAAAATAAGTGTTTTTTTAAAGGCAAAAGCTGAGAAGTACTTTTTTAAAAGGAGTTGCAAACTAACCCTAAATGAGCATATCAATTCAATTCCTTAAAAAAAACATCAATTCAATAACGAGGGGATCGACAATACTATCAGAAAACAACTGTTTTAAATTTCAACGATATAAATTAGATTGTCCAGATGTCTAGACTCTAGAATAATAGGGAGTATCATGTGAAGTACTCGGTATTGTTTTGTGTATTTCCTTTCCGTTACGTCACTTTGATATTGCGGGTTGTTGGATTTAATTATGTCTTATTAATTAATCTTAAAATTAATGACCACATAAATGTTATACATACAATGGTTAATGTGGGGCTTGAGTATGGGGGATTAATAAGGCAAATTATATCCTATAATCGACTGTACAATGGTCACGGTACAATCAATTTTTTTTGTGACGGTTGCAATTCGCTCATCACCATTACATAGATGGACAACTCCGTCAACTCACCACTCATATCCAGGTTCGCCGTTTGCACCTCAGAGAGACGGCTCACCGCTCGACGTATACTCGGTGTTCACATTCATACGTTCCGACATTCATCTTGCACCAGATCTCATGCTTGCGGCTCAACTGGCATGTCAGATTGGAGTTACTCACGACCAAATTGAAACTTTTTCACATAGTCTCAAAGCTCAATAGTAGAAAACACGATACTCAATGAAAATGTGTTGATCCTTAATACAAAGTCTCAATGCTCAATAAAAATGCTTGATCTCACAATTCAAATGATCAATAGTAGAGAGCACGATACTCAATGGAGATGTTTTGATTCTCAATGCAGATTCTAATGTACGTTTGATAAGAACAGAAAAATAAAATCAACGGTATGAACCGTTGCCCGATAATCAACGATAAATAAATACCGTTGCCCAAAGCCAAAAGGCTAAACCAACTTTTATTCCAAGATCATCAAGAATGAAGCATACAAGGGGTATAAATAACCCTCTAGGTCTAACAAGAATAGGAATCCTAAATAAATTAATCTAGGAAACTAAATAGAATAGGAAACCTCTAGTTCTAATAGAACTCCTAATTAAATCATTCTAGGAAACTAAATAGAAATAGGAAACCTCTAATTCTAATAAGAATAGAAGTCCTAAATAAATTCTACTAGGAAACAAATTAAATTAGGAAACAAAATAAAAGGAATAATACATATTAATTAAACAGCCCGCAACCAACCCACGAAAGTGGGCTCAAGCCCGTCCAGCCTTCGGTAAACCCACGGGGGCTTCTGCCCCTCTTCTTCCAAGCCCAGATTCTGTTTCATATCAATTCCATCCCCCTTCGAAAAAACCTTGTCCTCAAGGTTGAAATCCGGAAACCGGCTGACATTTGTTCATGGTGGCTGCCCAGTATCTTTAGGAAAAATTGAGATGTACTCCTCCACAGTCCCTGTCTGCTTGACTCCGGACAGCCGTTCAAAGCAATTGCCCTGAAACTGTGAGTCAAAACGAGCCACCAATGCCTGTGTAAGCTCATCCCATGACATGCCCGGCTTTCGTGTCCGCATCGAGGTCAACCGGTATAGGGCTGACCCTCCCATCACAACTACCGTGGCTGCCGCCTTCTTTCCCGGCAGAGCACAATTCAATTTGAACCGTTTCTCAGCCTCATCAACCTGGCTGATCGGTTCTACTTCGTTAAACGAGGGCAACGTCGTAAGAAAGGAGCTGCGTAGTCCAATTCCGAACGAGGATGCTGCTGCTGCGTCGAGTGAAGTCACCACCATTGAATGCTCCGCCGCTGGCGATGCAAGAGTCTCTTTTAGTGCAGCCAATGAAGAAGTGACGTTGTGCAGCTGTCCGTCGCCGCTGTGCGTAGATACGTTGGGGCTGCCAACCGTGTCCGAGCTTGTTTCCGTCGTGACTGATGGAACGAGCGCCTTGGTAAGCGCTGCCAGGGATGCGGCGATCTCTGCCAGACGCATGTTGTGCTCCTTTAGGGTTTGAGTTTGCTTGGCCAGCATTTCTGACAAACGTTCACCGATAGATCTCGTCATTCTGGCGGGACGGGATCCGGCAGGTCGGACCAATTGATAAGAACAGAAAAATAAAATCAACGGTATGAACCGTTGCCCGATAATCAACGATAAATAAATATCGTTGCCCAAAGCCAAAAGGCTAAACCAACTTTTATTCCAAAATCATCAAGAATGAAGCATACAAGGGGTATAAATGACCCTCTAGGTCTAATAAGAATAGGAATCCTAAATAAATTAATCTAGGAAACTAAATAGAATAGGAAACCTCTAGTTCTAATAGAACTCCTAATTAAATCATTCTAGGAAACTAAATAGAAATAGGAAACCTCTAATTCTAATAAGAATAGAAGTCCTAAATAAATTCTACTAGGAAACAAATTAAATTAGGAAACAAAATAAAAGGAATAATAAATATTAATTAAACAGCCCGCAACCAGCCCACGAAGGTGGGCTCAAGTCCGTCCAGCCTTCGGTAAACCCACGGGGGCTTCTGCCCCTCTTCTTCCAAGCCCAGATTCTGTTTCATATCAATTGATAAGAACAGAAAAATAAAATCAACGGTATGAACCGTTGCCCGATAATCAACAATAAATAAATACCGTTGCCCAAAGCCAAAAGGCTAAACCAACTTTTATTCCAAGATCATCAAGAATGACGCATACAAGGGGTATAAATAACCCTCTAGGTCTAATAAGAATAGGAACCCTAAATAAATTAATCTAGGAAACTAAATAGAATAGGAAACCTCTAGTTCTAATAGAACTCCTAATTAAATCATTCTAAGAAACTAAATAGAAATAGGAAACCTCTAATTCTAATAAGAATAGAAGTCCTAAATAAATTCTACTAGGAAACAAATTAAATTAGGAAACAAAATAAAAGGAATAATAAATATTAATTAAACAGCCCGCAACCAGCCCACGAAGGTGGGCTCAAGCCCGTCCAGCCTTTGGTAAACCCACGGGGGCTTCTGCCCCTCTTCTTCCAAGCCCAGATTCTGTTTCATATCAACGTTCAAGGAAGACATTTGATCACATAGTCTCAATGCTCAATAAAGATGTTTTGATGCCCAATATGTTTTGAAAATTTCACACTCAACTGCAGAGTTCAAATGCTCAATAGGAGAGACTTGATGGTCCATGCAAATATCTTGATGCACAAGTAACAGAATTTATGATCTTCATATCATGCAGAGCTCCATTTATTTTTATAACAAAGTTACTAGTTATATAAACACGCGATGCGCGATAGGTTAATGCCCAATTCCAAATTCTATGTGGACATTAGTTTTTATAATATATATAACACAAGAGTATTACCTGTATTACAATGTCAAACTTAACAGAGAGACTTTAGTGAAAATTAGAATCATTTTAAAGGGTAGAAAAAATTATGTAGTATTATTTAGTGGAAGAAGTGGAATGGACATCCTAATTGCTAAGCAAGATTAAAATGGAATTCTTTAAAATGAACTTAGTTAGTGTAAAATATTCATGATGAGATAGAATAATTTCATAGATTAAATACAAGTGAGGCTAAGATCTATTAAGATATTGAGTGGAGTCATAATTTTTTGTGTAGGATCCCAAGATATAACAGAAAACAGGAAAGTTAACACCTTTAGGAAATGCTATTAATTGGGTTACATAATGGAAGGTAGAATCTTGAGCGTAAGCCAACAGCGAATGTAAAGTTAGCAAAAGTGAATGCATAGTTAATTAAACTTTGCTCAAGTGAAAATAAAGATGACAGTAGATTTATGTGATGAAGATTGTATGAACTTGCCTCACGTAGCAAACCCCAGTAAGAATTCATGAAACCAAACAAACTTAGACGAAGGAATCAAGGCAATCATAATGGGAAGAATTGCAGCAAGCCACACTGTTTTCAACACAGTGACCAACCCCAGCTCCATGGCATAGGTGAAGAAAACCCTACTGAACCGTGCACAATGATAATCTACAGAATTCCTGCTGCCTGGGAGCTGGGGAGATTACCGGAGCTACGAAAGCAGCCACTCAGAACTTCCACAGGGTCACAACCTGAGATGTGAGATAGTGATAAGCAGACTATCACGCTGCAGGGGCGGGCGCCGTGGGGATGTGGCAGCGTGAGGCGGGTACGGGTTGCAGCCTGCAGGACTATGACTGGCTGACGGGGAGTCGGGGACCTTGCGTCCTTCTCTCTCAGCTGTTACCATAATGTTTTACCTTGAAAAAACGAAATTGATGCATGTAAATGAAATGCTCTATTTCAAACGACATTACCACAAACTTTACCCAAATAATACCCGATTCTGATTAT